AGACCCCGCGCGGGGACGTCACGGGACCGGCTGCTTGGGCGCCTTCGGAGCGGGCCCGGGCCGGCCCTTCCCCTCCCTGAGAGCCGAATCCCTTCCTCGCAGGACACCGAGCCTCCGGCCCCACGGGTGGTAGGAAGAGGTGTCCCCGGGGACAGAGGAGTCCGTGCAGGCTCCGGGCTGAAGCCCAGATTCCTCCCCGGAACCGCTCCTGGACCTGCGGGGTCGCTGGGAGTCCAGGGAGGTGACATCCTAAGGGGAGCTTGGAGTCTGCTTGGTCCAGAAGTTGCCGGAGGAGGTACTCCGGCCGGGGAGGATGCCCTGGAGAAGCACTGCCCACCTGGGGACCGGGAGAGTGGCTCCCAGAGCAATGTGGAGTCGAGACTGAGGGGGGATTGTAGGTCTTTCTGTGGAGCAGAGTGGTGGAGAAGGAGTTAAAATCTTTCAAAAAGGGGAAGATGCGCTCCCTGGGTGTGTGAGCCCAGGCTGCAGTAATGGCTGCGGCCTGCATTTCTGAGCCAGGCAGGACTGGGCTCATGGGGCCCAGGGAGGCTCGGGACAGGGGCTGAGGTTGACTAGGGCCCTGGCCCCAGTCCCAAAGGTGGGGTTTCCAAGAAGTGTGAGTTAACCAGATACTGATCAGAAGTGCGGATGAGATGGGTCCACAAAGGAATGTGGCTCACCAGCCTGGCCTTGCCAGCCTTGCCTGTGTTGTCACCCAGCCTGGCCAGATGGACTCCCTAGCCAGTCTTGGAAGTGCGGAGATGCAGCTGCCTCAGGCCTGAGGCAGGAGGGCGGAAGGAAGGCTGGAGGGGCTCCCGTTGTCACAGCTGGGCCCTGGCTTCCTCTCCTGTCCTGCTGTGCAGGTGACCTCTGCCTCTTCCTCTCCAGGCCTCTCCTGGCTCCTTATCTGGCAGGGTGGGACCTGTAGCGGATGCTGAAGTTTGGGGCCTGAGCTTTTCTCTCCCTGGCCCTGGGATCAGAGCCCCCAGTTAGACTTGGCACGGCCTGGCATCACCCCTGGACTCCTGCCTGCAGGTCCCGGTGGCTTCTAGGTATTCAGACCTGGGAGATGTCTCTGGAGCAAGGGAAGAGAACAGACAGACTGCTGCCACTCAGCCTCCCTGTCCCCAGGGAAGCTTTCCTCAGGGAGCACTGTGAAAGGGTCGCAGGTTCTCGGTGGGTTCTGCCTCCTCTGGAGCATTCTGTCCAGGGAGGGGAGGGTGTGACACAGGGCAGGAACAGAACCTGAGAATCCCAGACTCTACTGCCAGGGTCACATGTTTCTGTGATCTTCAGGGAACATTTCTCAAATAAGAAGTCGTGTGTTCCCCTTTTTTGTATTAAATGTATCGGTTCAGCTGGCTCACCCTGAAAAAGCAGGCCAAGTTTCCCTTCTCTCGGGAGGCCTCCCAAGAAAACCAGCCCTTGTGGGCTGCAGTTGGAATTCCAGAGTCTGAGAAACGCCAGCCTTTCCAGATCTTCCAGGGCTATGGGCTTGGCATCTCTGCATTTTACCCTTGGGTTTTTTACTCAAGAATTAGGAATTGAGTTCAGTGCGTGCCGCTCACTAGGCTAACATGAACTGGAAGGAAATTATACGGGGACTTCACAGTGCTTCTCAGACATTAAGCTGGTATTTTGATTTCTGGAAGAGTTGTGATGCTAAAAAACAGGCATTGTTTTTGTCCAAGAAAAACAAGAGGGTCACTTTCAAATATTTCAAAGTGTAAAAGATTGCCTAATGGAAGAAGCAGCCTTGGGTTACCCAAAGGAACTTAGAATCAAAGGGTGGAAGTTATAGGGAGTGGATTGGGGGCCTATTATGAAGGACATTCTGATAAGCTGGTGCCACACACCTATAATCTCAGCACTCAGGAGGCTGAAGCAGGAGGATCACTGCAAGTTCAAGGCCTGCCTGGGCTACGTATTGAACTACCTACTAAGACCTTGTCTCAAAAAAAGCAAAATAGAGCCAGGCATGGTGGCACAGCCCTGTAATCCCAGCAATCCAGGAGGCTGAGGTAGGAGGATCCCGTCAAGTTCAAGGCCACCCAGGGCCCCATAGTGAATTCAAGGCCAGCCTGAACTACATAGCAAGCTTGTCTCAACCAAAACAAACAAACAAAAAAACAAGTTTGAACTCAGCCTGGCAAGCCTAATGACTTAGCAAGACCCTTTCTGAAAATTTAAAAAAAAAAAAAAGCCTGAGGATATAGTTTGATTTGAAGGCCCTGAGTTCAATCTTCGGCACAGAATGAGAGAGAGAGAGAGAACTGCCTGATAACTGGAGCTGACCCAAAAGAGAATGGGCCAAAATGGGCTCAAGTCTGAGGCAAGTTGGGCTCAGTGATAAGGTTTTCGCCACCCTGAGCAAGGAGCTTGTGAGGAAGGGGTCATCAGCAGGGAAGTCCAGTCATAGCCGGATTCCTACTTAGCTCCAGTTCCTCCTGAGCAGGAGGTTGGCTGTGCAGGTGCTGGCTCCCTGGGGGTCCTCCTTCCTCTCCCTTTGCTCCGGTTGCATCTGTCAGGCCAGATTCTCATGTTTGGGAGCCTGTGGCTCTTCTGGTTTCCTTGCTGAAGAGCAGTGATGGTTCCTTTTGCTGTTTCAAACCATTCCCAGACACTTTTCGAGCCTTTTCACAATTCCCAGGAAACCCTGGGCTTCCTTCCTCAGACCAGTGTCCTAACCAGCATGGATAGGAACCCGATGGCCTTCAGTCCAACAGGTGCCCTGCTGGTTTAGGGTGATTTAAAGACACAAGGAGAGCATGCTCTCCCTCAGTGATTCGTAACTGCCCTTGGGCCCTTAGGATATCCGAGAAAAGTTAGGGATCCTTTCCCCAGAAAAATGTGCACTCTGTCCTTTTTTTTTTTTTTTGAGACAGGGTCTCACTATGTAGTTGAGACTGACCTGGAACTCACTATGTAGCCCAGGCTGGTCTCAAACTCACATGATCCTCCTGCCTCAGCCTCCTGAGTGCCAGGATTACAGGTGTGCGCAACCATGCCTGGCTGTACTCTGTCCTTTTGAATCCTCAGGTTCTGCCTCTATGCATTCAGCTGAGGATCAAAAATATTCAGAAAAAGCCAGATGTGATGGGACATACCTGTAATCCCAGCTACTTGGAAGGCTGACACAAGAGGATTGCTTCCACCCAGTTTGGAGACAGTTTGAACAACATAGCCAGCCCTGTCTCAAAAAAATGTTTTTGCCTGTATTGAACATATAGATACTTTTTCCTTTTTTTTTTTTTTTTTTTTTAAGACAGGGTCTCACTATGTAGTTCAGGCTGACCTTGAACTCACTATGCAGCCCAGGCTGGTCTCAAACTCTTGGCGATCCTCCTGTCTCAGCCTCCAAGTGCTGGGATTACAGATGCGTGCCACCACGCCCAACGTGTCATTAAGTAATACAGTATCACAGCTAGTTATGTAGTATTTAGACTGTATTAGGCATGAAGAAATCAAAAGATGATTTAAAGTCTGTAAGGCCACGTGTGGTGGCACATTCCTGTAATCCCAGCACTCGGGAGGCAGAGGCAAGAGGATCGCTATGAGTTCGAGACCAGCCTGGGCTACATAGTGAGTTCCAGGTCAGTCTCAACTACATAGTGAAAACCTGTCTCAAAAAACCAACCAAACAAATAAATAAATAAAATCTATGAAAGGATGTTTGCAGGTTATGGGCAAATACTATACCATTTTATATGAGGGACCTGAGAATTCCCAGGTTTTGTTATCTGAGGGCATCCTGGGACGCAAAGGATGAGTGTACTTACAAGCAAAGCTTTGGACACACGGGTGGTCCCGGGGGGCTCTCTCTGTCTCGGGTCCACCTCAGGCCCTGGTGAGCAGGTGCTGTGTGTAGACAGAAGTGCACGTGCACACACTCACGTGGGACCCAGGGGTCTTCCCTTGGACTTGGGGGCACAGAGAGGACCGATCATCTGCCTCACAGAGGCCTGGGCCAGACCCCAACTCGTAGGATGTGAGCCACCTTATTCTGCTACTCAGAAGACGAAAAGGCTGTGTGGGGAGCAGGGCTGGCACTGTCCTCCTTCAGACTGCTTCTGGGGGGAAGAAAAAAAACAAGCCAGAGATCCATGGAGAAATGGAATTACATACAGTCAATTCCCAAGCAACCAGCAAACACTCACTGTTATAGACCCAGCTCCTCTGCCCAGGCAGCCCCGTTCTGGTGGGGAGACACAAAAGTGAACTCCAGCAGCGTGTGCATTACCCATCCTAATGAGTGGTTAGAGTACAAACCAGGCTTGGCGTGCATTACTCTTTGTGGGGGTGGCCAGTGTACTCCCCACCAAAAAATACTTAACTGCCAGCTTGAAAATGCCCCCTTTCCCTTGAGTGTCAGACCATGAACTGTTTGGGGTTCTTGACCCCGGAAGTAGTTCACTCTTCCCCTGCGCTGGAACAGTCTGCACTCAGTAACACGCTACAGGCTTTAGTTCCTACGGCACTTCCAGTCAGACCTTAGAAAAACTGTCTCAGGGTGCCTCTGGACACCTGGATTGGTGACAGCCATCCTGCCTACAAGTAGGGGACACGCGAGAGATGCCGCTGTGACCCCCCACCCCACATGGGAAGGCTCAGCCTCTCTGGCCTGGCCCGCCGTGTGACCCCAGCAGCCTTCTGGTCTGGGGTGCAGCCGACTTTTTCCCGTTTCCAACGCTGACTCTTCTCTCCAGTCAGGACAGTTCAATGAGGACATGATCCCCACGGTGGGTTTCAACATGCGCAAGATCACCAAAGGGAACGTGACCATCAAGGTGAGGGGTGGAGGCTGGGGGAGAGGAGGAGAGGCAGGGAGGAGGGCAGGGGTTCTGGTTGCCTGCTGCTGAGGCCATCTCACCCTCTTCTTGCTCAGCTCTGGGACATTGGGGGACAGCCCCGATTCCGCAGCATGTGGGAACGCTACTGCCGAGGCGTGAGCGCCATAGTGTAAGTACCAGCCTCTTGCATGCGGCTTCCTTCCTATTGGATAATGCTCAGTCCCCACAGCCCAGGTGAAGAACCAGGGACTCTAGAAACCAGGCGGGCCCTGCAAGCTTCCTCTTCCTTGTTCCTGGGCTCCCTCCCCAACTGTTACTGTCTGGAGTTTGGGATGGTTTAAATGATTCATTCCCTTTTAAAACATAATTTTAGGCCAGCACTCGGAAGGCTGAGGCAGGAGGATTGCTGTGAGTTCGAGACCAGCCTGGGCTACATAGTGAGTTCCAGGTCAGTCTCAACTACACTGTGAGACCCTGTCTCAAAAATAATAATAATAATGTTAAGGACAGGGTATGTAACTCAGTAGTAGACCTGGGTTGATTCTGGAATGGTGGCACATGCCTGTCATGCTAGCACTGGAGAGGCTGAGGCAGAAAGATCGAGAGTTTAAATGCCACCTAGGTGACTGACTTAGTGAGACCATCTCACAATTTAGAAAGAGTCAGAGGTGTAACTCAGTGCAAAGGTCCCAGTGCCACGATTACTAGTGATAGTCAAAATTTTATTTAACATATCTATGTCCAAACAACAGATTTCGTTTTTCTGATAGAATAAACAATAGATTTTTAAAAACATCTTCCTGCAGGAAAATGTCCTAGTGTTTGCTTTGCTTTCCCACTCTGGCTTATCTGGGCTTTCCCTGGAAACATAAGTGGGTCACTTTGGGCAGGATTTAGAGCTAATCCTGCAGGGCCTGAGCTCCGCACACAGAGGCCGCGATGAGGGCAGCCCCAGGCTTTTCCCTGCCGTCCTTGAGCCAGGCCAGCATGGTCCGGGGCCCTGGATGCGACCGTGCTGGACCCAGAGCCAGAGGTTTTCTGGCTCAGCGCGCGTGGTTTCCCCATGCTGTCCTCGCCCTGCCTTTCCCCAGGTACATGGTGGATGCCGCCGACCAGGAGAAGATCGAGGCCTCCAAGAACGAGCTGCACAACCTCCTGGACAAGCCTCAGCTGCAGGGCATCCCGGTCAGTCAGGGAGTGCAGCGGGAGGAGAAGGCCCTGTGCGGGGAAGCGGGCATTGCGGGGTGCTGAGAGGGGGTGTGAGTGCACCGGCTCACCTTTCACAGCCTGAGCCCTCACGCTCCCTCCTCTGCAGGTCTTAGTTCTCGGTAACAAGCGAGACCTCCCAGGAGCTCTGGATGAAAAGGAGCTGATTGAGAAAATGTGAGTGTAGTCACTGTAACCTCCAGCGCCCCAAATCCCCAACCACCAGCCTTGGAGTTGGGTTTATTCTTTTTTTTTTGGTACTGCTTGCAAGGCAGGCCACTCAACCGCTGAGCTAAATCCCCGGCCCTGGGTTTATTCTTGTTCCTAGCATTTGCCACATGGTGGCAGTAGAGGACACTTTTCCAGGCACCTCACCCTGCTCACGGTAATCCTTTGAGCGGGAGAAAATCCTGCCCTCCCCTGGCCCATGCCCCTAGGCAGTCCCTGCCTCCGCGGACTCTTTCTTATCTGATCTCCCCTAGGAATCTGTCTGCCATCCAGGACCGAGAGATATGCTGCTACTCCATCTCCTGCAAAGAGAAGGACAACATTGGTGCGTGAGTCTGGGGAGCTGCGGGCCCCCCTGGAGCGGCAGCAGGGAAGGGAAAGACAGAAGGTGCCGGGGTTCTCCCAGGTTCCGCCAGGCCTGTGTTCTAGCATCACCCCAGCCTGCCTCAGTGTCACAGTAAACGGCCCCTCGCCTCTGACACTCACGGCTCCCAGGCCCGGTCCTCTCCTGCAGAGCTCTGGCTTTCTCAGAACCCAGCCCCGCCCACCTGTGTGAGGCTGATGGCCTTGGTGCCCGGAGTAGCTGCAGTTAGGTGGCGGTGGGCTGACTGCCACTCCCTCAGCTGTGTCACCCAGCACAGCAAGACCTTATAAACTTTTCTCCTGTCCGGGCCCAGACATCACCCTACAGTGGCTTATTCAACACTCAAAGTCACGGAGAAGCTGAGACAGCGGCGCTTCTCCCTCGGACCAGGGACCGTGCTCATCTACACCTGAAGCCGAGCTCCCGCCCTCCCCTTCGTCCCCTAAGCGCACCCTCCTCACTCTGGGGAGGGCCCTCTGGGGCTCCCCAATCCCATTCTGCTGAGGTTTGAACTCCTGTTTTTATTGTAAAATAAATCGCCCCATCTGGGCCCCCAGCCTCTCCCCTCCGCTCTCCTGTGTCCTCGCCCAGCCCCGCTTCCCTCCCCTTGACAGCCCTGGCTCCCCGCCCTTGCCCCCCTTACTTCCTCCTCCTCCCTTTTCAACACTCTCTGTTATTGTCCTGTGTGTACAGTATATATATGTATATATATTTTAATTTTTTAATTTAAGCAAAGACTAAAATCAACCATTTGATGCTGCAGGGGCCATTCAGGGTCTGGGAGGGGGCAGTCTGGAGAGAAGGGAAGACATGCAGGGTGGCCTTGGGGCGAGTTCACATCTGGAAAGGCGGAGGCTGGCACCTGGGGCAGGTACCAGCCTGGGCACTGGCGGCCGCCCCGTCCCGTGTGTCTCTGCAGCCACAGGCCGATGGGAGGTCCTATAGGGGCCTCCTCTCTTCCCCCAGCCTCGGTGGGGCCCCCAGGCACAACAGGTGCCAGAGACCACCAGGCCTAGGGCAGGAAGCCAGGGCCCATGCTGCCCAGCCCGACACCTGTCCCAGCCCCCAGCTCTGCCCTGCCCAGGGCCCCACCTCATTTTCTGTTCTCATTTTGCAGAGTTGCACAAGGAGAGAACTCAGCATGGGGGGTTGGTTCTTTGGATTTTGTTTTTTGTTGTTTTATTTGTTTAATTTAATGATTTGTAAAGTGATGTTCCTCTTCCTTTTTTACACTTTTCAGCTCATACTTAACCTCTGTTTGGAAAATGATTCTTGTAACTGTACATTTTTTGCCTCCTAATAACAATAAATTACCAATTTTGTGTTGAGGGGGTACACAGTGACCGTTATTTTTCTGCAGATGGTGCGGGCTGGCCAGCAGGCACAGGGGACAGCAGCACACCCCGCACCCTGGGCACAAACAGCCCCGGGAGCCACACCCACAGGGGCTGCAGACAATGGCCCCTCACAGGTCTCCCACGAGTGCCCCGGCCCGCCGGCTCCCTCATTCCTTTCTCAGAGTTCCCTGCAGTCCCCGCCTCGAGCTGGCAGCTGCGCAGTGGTGTGAAGGAGAGTGGATGAGCTGCCCCGGGTCACGGAGGCACAGTGCCGGGCTCCTCTGCTGCGTCCCGGTTGGCAGTGATGCCCCACTTTCCTGGTACCCTGCTCCCCTTCTCACCTGGGAAGCCAGTTGCACCCCTAACCCCCACAGCTTCTGCTTAGAGCCCGTGGGCCCTGCTTCCTCAAATCTGAGGCCAGGGCTGGGGATTTGGCTCAGTGGTTCTGCTGCCTGCCTCGCATGCCCAAGGACCTGAGTTTGATCCCCGGTACCAAACCAAACAAAACAAAACAAAACAAAAAGCCGGGCATGGTGGTGCACGCCTGTAATCCCAGCACTCGGGAGGCTGAGGCAGGAGGATCGCTGTGAGTTCGAGACCAGGCTGGGCTACATAGTGAGTTCCAGGTCAGTCTCAACTACATAGTGAGACCCTGTCACAAAACAAAACAAAAAACAACAAATCTGAGGCCATCTTGACCCAGATTTACAAGAAGCTCTGGCCTCCCGGTCACCCAGGAAGATGCAGCAGGCGCCTTCTGCGACCACACCCCTGCCCTTTCCATGAAGAGGAGCCAGTTTGCCTTCAGTGCTGCCTGTGGGCTCCCAGGCCTCTCTGGTCCTGAGTCCTGCCAGCCCCTCACCTACTTCACCAGTGCCCAGAGCTGCTTCTCTGAGGCGCTGTGTGGCCCTCAGAGCCATCAGATACCAGCCAGCAGGGCTTGAGGAAAGACTAAAGCAGTGACAGTGAACGTTTCAGAGCTTTCGGTGATACAGACCATACCACAGCACGAGTGCCACAGGTTCGCCACCCCTGGACTTACATGGAACCTGGCAGCCGGACCTGCAGGTTCCCAGACGCCTCCCGGGGCTGGAGAAGTGTGAAATGTGTCTGGTTAAGGAGGTTGAAGGTGGGCCCAGGCCCTGTCCCCTCCTTCCCTCACCGCGAAGGTGGCGGGTGTGTCCCGGCCAGGAGCTGGAAGAGGGCCACCACCCTCAGGACCCGCTGTGCTGCCCCCGGGTGAGGTTCCAGTCCGGCCTTGTAACCCAGTCCCCCCCACAGAGTGGCTGCCTGTGCTTGGGGACCTGCAGAGCCCACCGCGGGACAGGGAACAGACTGCATGTGGTATATGAGCCCTCACGCTCGGGCTCTGGTGCCAAACCTGGGTGAATTTAGGAACACCCTGGCTGGGCTTGCCCACAGTTCCCAGAGGAGAGGAAGAGAAGGTGCCAGGTGCCGAGCCCAGTGCTGGCCACAGTGCCGGGCAGGAGGGATTGCTTCCCCCCACAGATGAGGAAGCTGAGTCGGGTTGTGCAGGTGCACTCGGAACTCAGAGTAAAACGAAAGAGGAAGCTGAGGTGGCGGGGAGCGGGGAGGCTCAGAAGGCCGGTCCACTGCTGCCTGCCCTGAGGGGTGTCACCGCGTCCTCCAACACCCAGCCCCAGTCCACACTCACCCCGTGCCACCCTCCCCCCAGCCCCCAGCCTGGGACCCCTAAGCAACAAACCCCACATTGTTCCCCAGCTGGCCCGGCTGGAAGGACAGTGGCTCTTTCCCAGGCCGGCCGGCCTGCTGACTTCATCCTGCAGGCCTTTCACACTGGCAGGCCCGGGCCAGCCTGGAGAGGAGGGGGCAGAGGGAGGCCTTGGAATGAGCCCCCCACCAGGCCTCTGTCTTCAGCCCTGTCCCTGTCTGGTTCACCTCGGGTCCCCTGGCCCCTCCTGCCTCCCTTGGGAGGCTCTTAGTGCGTTATAGGTCCGGGTGGCTCGGGTGGAGGAGATGGTTGGGGAGTCGGCCTTTGGCCTGGTCTCTAGCCTGTGCCCCCTACCATCCAAAGTTTCTATGGACAGAGCCGGGGGCTTCGGTCACTGTGGCAACGTGTCTGCAGAGAAATGGGTTGGTGTCATTCCCCAGTGCATGGCAGCACTGTCACCTAGCAACGGCCTCCCTCTGTTGGTGTCACTGGCCTGGGGGTGGGTGCCAGGGAGAGAACAAGGCTGTTCAGATCCCTCGTGGTGGGGGGGCTGGGGCACTGGGCAGGCTGAGCCCATGGGGTGTGGGTGGCTGGACATGGAGAACAAGGCCCAGGCCACTCAGAACCTCCGGTCCCTCACCGTCCCTGGGCCCCTGGGAACACTTCCTGAGGTCCTGTGCCAGGGAGTGTTCTAGGGAGATGTGGGGGCCGTGAGTGGCACTCTGGAGGACCCTGAGGTACAGCTGCAGGAGGGTGGACTTCAGGCCAAGGACCAGCAGGAGGAGCTGCAGGGTCTGCTGGGGACATGGGTAGAGCCCTTCCAGGAAGGGCGGTGTGGAGGGGCCAGCCAGGGGCCGAGCAGCTGGACCATCTCTGGGCAAAACAGTCCATTCTAAGAACCGAACAAGAGCCACTCTCAGAGCGCCGGCCTGGAAAGCCCCGCGGTTCACGGAGGGAAGGCCACTGGCTTCGCTCAAATGGAGGCTTTGTTGGGAGAGGGTGACTGGAAGCTGGGGGCTCAGAGGGGACAAGTTGGCAGCTTTTGACATGCTAGAGACTGCTGGGTTTAGACCAGGATGGGAACTTAGCCCCCCAGCTCCCCAATCCCCAAAGACCCCAAGGCAGGACAGAAGCCAAAGGTAATGAAGAGGAATGCAGCCTCCCCCCTGGCACGGCCCAGTCCTGGGAAAGCCCCAGGGCCTCCAGCACTGCCAGGACAGGGCTCAACAGAGTGCAGTTGGTACAGGGGTAGTTCTACCTAGTTTATTGATGTTCAGGAAGGGCCTCCTATAGGAAAGGACTTAACCAGGGAGCTTGGACGGGACAACCTGGGTACCTTTGAGAGAGGAGGGAAGAGAAATCCCCAGAAGAAGGGACAGATCCAGTCCAAGGAAGACGGTACTGAGCCTGCGCAGCTGCCCCTCACCAAGGAGCCCCCATTCCAGGATGGGGCCCGGGTGGGACAGGATAATGACCTCCAATGAGCGCATCAGAGTCACATCGGAGAGGGAGCCAGGGCACTGTGGCTCCCAGCCGGGGCCTGGGACTGGGGCAGCTCTAAGGACAGAGAAGGGGGGCAGCCTACCTGTGCCGAGGACAGTGCTAGAAGGTCCCTCAGAGTGACGGGAGAGGCCCTGCGTGGGGAGGGGCTTTCGCAACCCCAAACCGCACAAGAGGCCCCAAGTCCCTCTCTGAGCAGCAGGGCTGGCAGCCAAGTGAGACCTATGGGGAAAGAAACAGCAGGCCCTGCTGGGCCCAGGGTGGCGGCCCCGTCCCCTCCCTGGGCCTGGCTTCAGCAAGGCGTGCCCAGGGGCAGGAGTGGGGGCGACTCCCTGGGCTTGTGGAAGTAGATGGACGAGGACACCTCAGCCTTGAGCTTGTCCGCGCCGCTGGCTGAGGCGTCGGGGGCCCCGCCACAGTCTTGGCGGCAGCAGCAGCAGCAGCAGTCCCGGAAGGCCTGGCTGAGCGGCCGGCACACACAGAGCAGCAGCACCGGCGTGATGGCGCCCTTGAAGAAGGTGGAGAACTGGTTGACGAGGCCCAGCAGGTCCAGGGTCTGGCGTGTGAGCTCGGTGGACAGGTAGGCCACCACCACGTTGCAGACGTTCTCTGGGAGGGTGCAGAAGGCGTAGACCACGGCCAGGCCCACCACCGTGCCGTTGAGCTGGCTTTCGCACTGCACATGCTTGCCCACCCGGCACTCCGGCTTCCTGCCCGGCGGGCCCCGCACCCGCCACGTCACCAGCTGGCAGGTGACGGTGAACAGGATGGGCAGGCAGAAGTAGCAGCCAAAGTACCACCACATGCGGGCGTTCTGGTAGGTCATCACCAGGGAGTACAGGGACTCAGGCAGGCCGGCCGATGGCTTCATGACGCACGAGTCCACGGTGCCCGAGGCAGGGCCCGGCTCCTGCGCCAGCTGCCACAGCAGAAGCTCAGGTACAGCCAGAGTCATGGAGCCCACCCAGATGACAGCCAGCTTGGCCAGGATCGACTGGCACCGCTCAATAGGCCTCGTCTTGGGCAGGGTGCTGGTGGCCACGTGGAAGCGGTCGATGCCCAGGGCGCAGAGGCTAAAGGTCGTGACACCCAGAGAGGAGACCTGCAGGCCAGGGGTGGAGAGAGCAGCAGGGGAGGTCAGAACGTGCAGGGACGGGGGAGAAGCCTTGGCTTTTAGAGTAGGCAGTGAAATGTGTCCTGAGCGCAGGAGAAGAGCAGAGCTGAGCGTGACGGTGCACATCTGTAATGCCAACGGTCTAAGAGGCTGAGGCAGGAAGATCACAGGTTCAAAGATAGCCTGAGCAACTCCATGACTTGCCTGGTTTTCGGGGGGAATTGTTGTTTTTAATAGAATATTTTTAGAAAGGCTTAGATGTAGCTCAATGTGAAGGCCCTGGGTTCAATGCCCAGTACTATAAAAGAAAGGAAAGAAAGGGCCAGGGATGTAGCTCAGTGGTCCCGCAGCCTACCGCGCAAGCACAAGGAAAGCAAGTTCGATCCCGGCACCAAAAAAAAAAAAAAAAAAGTGTAAGGTCCTGAGTTCAATCCCTGGTACCAGAAAAAGAGAAAGAAAGAAGGGAGGGAGGGAGGGAGAGAAAGGAAGGAAGAAGAAAGAGATGTAAGGGCCGGGGATTTAGCTCAGTGGTTCTGCCGCCTGCCTCGCAAGCACAAGGACCTGAGTTCAATCCCCGGTGCCAAAAAAAACCCAAAGCAAAAAAAAAAAAAAAAAAAAAAAAAAAAAAAAGAGATGTAGCTCAGTGGTAGAGTACATGTTTATTACCCATGAGGCCTTGGGTTCAATTCCCAGCATCAGAAAACAAACAAAACAAAAACCTGCAATCCCAGCACTCCAGAGTCTGAGGCAGCAGGCTTATAAAATTGAGCCCAGGCCAGCAATTCAGTGAAATTCTATCTCAGAAACTAAAAGGGCTGCCGGATGTGGGCGCGCACACCTGTAATCCCAGCATTCAGGAGGCTGAGGCAGGAGGATCGCTGTGTTTGAGAACAGCCTAGCTACATAGTGAGTTCCAGGTCAGTCTCAACTACACAGTAAGACCCTTTCTCAAAAAAACTAAAAGGGCTGGGGATGTCGCTCAGTTTGAAAGCCCTGGGTTCAACCCCCAGTACAACAACAACAACAAAAATAAATAAATAAAAATAGAGCAATGGTTACAATTTGCATATGGCAAATATTTTTAACTCCTCGAGTGATTTCCCTATATAAGCAAACCCTCATGGAGTGTCTTGCAAGAGCACAGGAGGATTGTCTTGCAGAGGCCAGGCAGAGAGGTCTCGCGCGGGGCTCACAGTTCTGGTAAGTGGAGGATCTGGGGTGCACCTGACACCTGCCTCCTTCCTCTTTCCGGTCAGGGGGTGCTCAGCCGCCCCCCACAGACCCTGTGCTGTCTAAGGGACTCGAGTCATCACTGACGAAGAACAGGACAGAGAACAGAGTTCTTCCACTGCCTGAATCCCCTTACGGTGGTGACCCCGGGAATGAGCTTACACCTCTCTCTGTCTCTACGCTCTCCTGACTCTCATCCTCCCCACCCTGTCCTGAGAAGCCCAAGGCCGAGCTGCCGGTGCCCCTCACCCTACACGCTATTCATGGAGCTCACAGGAAAACTGCCCTTCACGCCAAGAGGAAGAAGGCAGGCAGCAGGGAAGAAAGAGCCAAAGAGCATAAAGGAGGAGCAGACCCCGCCGGGCGATCCGCCTGTTCCACCACACTCGGGGATTGTGCTCCGACCCCCATCCGGTCCAAATCCTTCCCTCTTCAGGCTGGGGGACACAATCCGGGGCTTATTCGCTGCCCGTGTCCTTTGTGAGAGCCCCACCCGCTCTTGGCGAGGGAGCAGCCTCGCTCCTGCTCTCCCTGCACCCCACCATCCCCAAGGCTCCCGGTCCCTGCTAGGGGCCGTCCAGGGTCCTCCCCACAGAAGAGTTCCGGGACTGCCCCCGCTTCCACCCAGCTCCCAGCTTCTGCCAGCTGTGGGGTCACCTCCACCCTCCAGGAGACCTGAGGGCTGGCAGAGGGCTCGGGCCGCCGCCCACAGTCAGACGGGCCGGGCTTCACTGAACCGGGGCCCTGGGCAAGGGAGAACTCACATGCGCACCTCCCCGCTCTTCCCGGGAACCAATCCAGAGAAAAAGCCGCCCACCTTGAGTCGCTTTATTCTATGACCTTTATGGCCTTTACCCATTAATCCCTCAAGAAATGGGCTGCTGGGCAGGACAGAGCCACGCACCTGTAATCCCAGACGTCAGGAGGCTGAGGCAAGAGGATCACAAATTTGAGCCCAGACTAGGAAACAACAATTTAGCCAAGATTTGGGTTTTTTTTGTTTGTTTGTTTTTTACTGTTTGTTTGTTGTTGGGGATTGTTTTTTGTTGAAACAGAGTCACTATGTAGTTCAGGCTGGCCTTGAACTCACAGTGATTCTCCTGCCTCAGCCTCCCAAATGCTGAGGTTATAGATATGTGCCACCATACCCAGATCACAAATTTTATTTTTAACAAAAAACTGTTAAAAAAAAAAAAAAAGACTGCAGGTGCAGCAAAAAGAGGGGAGAGAGAGAGAAACAGAGAGAAACAGGGAATATTAATTCAGGGATAGAGCATAATTTAGCATCCATGAGGGCCTGGGTTCAATCCCCAGCACCAGAAACAAAAAACAAAAGCTAGGCACTGTGGCCATGCCTATAAGTCCATCACTCTGGGAGGATGAGGCAGAAAGATTTTGAATCAGAACCTAGTCTGGGCAATTTAGCCACTTGCCCAGACCCTGTCTCAAAATTTTAAAAGGACTGGGGAAGTAGCTCAGTGCACAGGCCCTAGGTTCAACCCCCAGTACCGTGGGAGGAAAAAAAAAAATCATTCAGATAGTTGTTATTATCCCCAATTTACAGATGGGGAAACCAAGGTTTAGGCAGGGTCGATAACCAAGATCATTCAGCTGGGGATAAGAGAAGCCCAGTGTCTAAGGCTGCCCCGTTCTGAGTCCTGAGTCTGAGCTGAACCAGGCTGTGCTTGCAGGAGGAGCAGCCAGCAGCAAAGGCTCCCGACTTCAGGTCCCCACCACGTCAGAGGCCTCCGGTGACTGTCCAGTCGGGGAGGCCAAGAGAGGGCGTCCCCGCTGCTGAGCCTCAGAGCCCCTCAGAGCCCAGCTGTGAAATCATCACTGACACACAGTGAGCAGGAGGCGCACAAATCCTGGCCTGGTCACACGGGCCAATGCAGTGTCATCCACAGAGGAAGGAGGGCCTCGCAGGGGAGCCACAGTCACCACAGTCACCACAGTCACTGCAGTCTTCCCCGTGACCCCACACAGCCAAGACTTAGAAAGTGACTTCCGTATTTCGTGTTTTCACAGAGAGAGCACTTCCTGGTCTTACGCTTATGCACACGTACTGGAGCGGATCTGCAGTGACTCCAGCTTTCTCCGTGTGTTCACACAGCTTTCAGGACCGTGTGTGCTGGTCCTCTCACGGGAGTTTCCAGAAGTAAGGGCATCACAGTACACTTCAGAAAAAAGTTTTTTTCAGTCCTGGGGATTGAACGCACGGCCTTCACACTCAACTTCACCCCAGTCCTTTTTTATTTTTTATTTTGAGACAGGTCTGGCTAAGTCACTAAACTGCCCACACTGGGCTCGAAACTTTGATTCTCCTGCCTCAGCTTCCCTGGGGTTACCACACCCGGCTCACCTCAGAACTTTAGAACAGAGCCACTCAAGGAACCCGGTCTACCCCGGCCTGAGGGGATAAGGGAACGAGGGAGGAATGTGCCCTGTCTGCCCTGGGACACCAGTAAGGCAGTCTGTCCAGGCCAAGTCCTGCCTTTCAGGGAGGACTCAGGGTACTGGTGGAGACAGCAGTGATGACAAAAGTCAGGCACCAACCTGCCCCGGGGTGGGTGCAGGGCACAGGGAGACACAACAAAGGACAGAGGGACCTCTTGGGTGGGATGATGCGGGGAGTAGAGCCATGGGCAGCTTGGACCTAAAGAAAGGGACAGGAAGAGCTGCGCGGGCAGCCCCACCGCCGAGCTCCGGAAGGGGCCACACTCACCTCCATGAAGGGCACGGCCCGGCAGGAGATGTCACCCAGGAGCCGCTGCTTGGTGATCTCATTGAAGATGACAACGGGGAGGCAGAAGAAGAGGACCAGGAAGTCCCAGAGGGCCAGGCTGGCAAGGATGGAGTTCCAGGCGCTCTTCAGGTAGTAGCTGTGCCACACGATGCACATGACCGACAGGTTGCCCACAATGCCCACAGCGAACACCAGCAGGGCCAGGAGCATGACGGCGTAGGCGCGGTAGGAGCTCTTGGTCACCGGGTACAGGGGGTTCTGGATCTGCAGCCTCTGGCTCGGCGTCCCCATCAGATTGCCCCTCAGCTCCTGCCCACTGCCGGGGACGTCCCCATCCTTGTCAGGGGGGGCACTGGTGACCACCAAGGGCTTGGTGGGCTGCGGGCCGGCAGGATGGATGGGCCGGGGGTACTCGGCCCACTCTGAAGGTGCATAGTACTGCACCTCCCTGGCCACCTCGGCCTCGGAGCCCCTCCTGGACCGGCTCTGCTGCTCCCAGGGCTCAGCTCTGTGCCCACCCGGGGCAGCCCCAGAGACCCCACCCAGCCCCACATCAAGAGCAAGCGCCAGGGGCCACAGCCACCACATGGCCAGACACACAGGACGTGGCTGCCCGGGGACAGCAGGTGAGGGCAGGAGACCCAAGTGCTGGGCAGAATCAAGAGGCAGCTGGCCGGCTGGGTCCGCCTCCTGTCCGCGTCTGCTTAGGCTGCCCAGGGCCCTCTGCTGGACAGAGCAGTCCTTGCCCCTCCGCAGCTCATCCTCTGGGACACTTAGGCTGCAGTGCCCTCAGAGGGCGCTGCTCCAGGTCACAGGGACCAGCGTGGGGCCAGGGCTTGCCCAGTGAAACAGCAGGGGCAGCCCGAGAACAGGGTGTGGCTCTCCAGATTCGACCTGATTTTAAGCCAGCTCCTACATGCAAAACCGAGCGAAACAATCACGGTAACCATTGAAACCTTAGCAGGTCCCAGCACTTAGCTGGTTTCTCAGTGCCCCTCACTATGTTCCAAAGCGTAAATGTGCCAGGGATGTAGCTCAGGGGTGCTGTACCTGCCTGGCAAGCACCAGGTCCTGAGTTCGATCCCTGTTACAAACAAACAAACAAAACAAGGCATAAATGCTGCTCTAATCCATTTTTCAGATTTTATATGCAAGGCTTGTAGAGAACAGGCACTTGCCACCTAGCTCACTGGGACAGCACTTGCCTAAGCATGTGCAAGGCCCTGGTTCAATCCCTAGCACCACAAGACAAAAACAAAACAAAGCAAAACAAAACCCATGCCATCCTGAGACAGACACAAGATGGGCAGACATTGCAATAACACATACTTGCTGAGTGCCTTTTATTTATTGTTGTTGTTGATTTGAGAAGAACGCTCGTCTTTATGGTCCATCCCCAAGAGCTGCACGGCCACGACCTCTGTAAAACACGGGGAGTATGCGTTTCTGTTACCACCCACTGCTCTCTTGCACACCAGATTCACGAGTGGAACCACTCAGCAGGTACATTTACAAGAGTTTGAGGGGTCCACCGCTTGGCTGTGAGCATAAGGCAGGTATAACTATAATACATAAGATACAAACCTCTCTAAAGACAAAGTATTTACGGACATCTATCAGTTAAAATACCTATCAAAAGCCGGGGCGTGGTGGTGCACACCTGTAATCCCAGCACCAGGGAGGCTGAGGCAGGAGGATCACTGTGAGAGACCAACCTGGGCTACATAGTGAGTTCCAGGTCAGTCTCAACTACATAGTGAGACCCTGTCTCAAAAAAAAGAAAAAAATATCTATCAAAAAAAAGAAAAGAAAAACATACCTATTAAAGCACTGTAAGAGGGATATAGCTATGCATAACATCTATTACTTCAAATATACATAGTAATATTTCTCTGGGGAAAATTTACAATAAACCTAATAGTTTATACAATGTAGTAAAGGACTCTCTGACATGCCTGTGGACCTATTGTTATATTTTAAATAATTCCCTGACACCCTATAGGGCATCTACACTTGCTCTCAAGACTATGGGGAACCAAATCCATCAAAAGAGCAGGTGTCTCAAGGGCCGGGAACTTAGCTCAGTGGTTCTGCCACCTGCCTTGCAAATGCAAGGACCGAGTTCCATCCCCAGTACCACAAAAAACAAAAAAAAACAACAACAAAAAAGATCAGGTGTTCAACTTCTAATTCATGGGACTCTTGGTCCCAGAGGAGGACTCGGCCCCCGTGCCCGACCTCGGCCTGCCGGGCTCTGGGGCGTCCACTGAGGGTGACTCCGCTTCCTCGCTCCCCTGGCTCTTCTTGAGGCCGACGTCCTCAGGCTCCAGGGTCCAGAATGAAGGCACAACCTCAGCCCCACACCCACAGCGCAGGGTCGTAAGCTTGGGTCTCCTCGCACTCCTGTCGGTCACCCTGAGGTTCCAGTCCACGCAGCAGATGAGCCGGTAGCACAGTGGAGCGGGGGATCTTGCCGAAGTTCTTCCCACAGAGGAGGAAGCACCTGCGTGATTCAGGCTCCTGGCTGTCCTCCGCCATGTCGTAGGCCAGGCAGAGCGCCGTGAAGGAGTCGGTCCTCTGGTGCTGCCCGGGCAAGAGGCCGGCGCGGCTGAAGTAGGCGACGACCGTGGCCGGGAGGCTCTTGTCGGAGGGTTAGGGTTTCGTCCCAGGCCAGGAATCCCGTGGTCCTCGAGATCACCCGGCGAAGGCCTCCTGGTGCTCAGACAGCACGGAGAACAGGTGCTTCCTCTTCGGCTTCCTCTGGAGGCCACAGGGCTTCTCCACAACACCTGTGTGGGCCGGAGGCACAGGGCCTAGCGGTTGCGACAGCACCTGCCGCCCCTTTCCCAACAGGCACAGATCCTCCCTCCACCTCTTGTGAGGTGGGGCTCCGTCCATGAACTGGGGGTGCCTCCCCTGCTTAGTCCCCGGTGACCACTCCCTCTTCCACTCAGGGCCACAGAACCGAGGCGAGAGGCTGCGGTTCTCCCGCAGGTCTGGGTCAGAACCCCTCTGGGGACTCTCCTGTTCCATCTCTGATTCTGAATCTTCAAGGGAGGCACCTTTCCGCTCTGGACAGGTGACGGAGGCTGGAAGCAGGGTGCCAGCCTAGGGCTCCTACTGAAGAGACCCAGCGGGTCCTCCTGCAGCTCCTCCTCAGGCTCTGAAGACCAGTCTCTTCCTCTCTGAACACGGACCTGAGGCAGGCGGCAGGGTGTGACCCAGACATGGCTGAGTCCAGGAGACTTCTTCAGGGGGCCAGGCATGGTGGTGCTCGCCTGTAATCCCAGTACCTGGGAGGCTGAAGCAGGAGGATGTAAGGCTGAAGAGTCTCCACCGGAAGCCAGGAGACTGGAGCTCTTCAGAAGGAACAGAAGTGAGCCTGACTCCTTGCTTTCCCTTTCATACCATTCTGGAGCCAATCCTCCCTGGAGTGGAGCAGTATAGTTCTTCCTGTGGCTGTGGGGAATTACTGAAGATAGAAGAGCCACCCTGGGGCCGGGCCGTGGTGGCTCACCCCTGTAATCCGAGCACTGGGGAGGCTGAGGCAGGAGGATCACCTCAAGTTCAAGGTTAGCCAGCCTGAGCTATGCACCGAGACAAATGTCTAAAAAAAAAAAAAGAAAGGAAGGAAAGGAAAAGCAAAGAAAAAAACAGGAAAAAAAGGAGACCCAGCGTAGGTGTGAGTGACAGCAACCAGTAGGCTCGCCCTTGCTGCCTGCACGGAATAGAAGAGAAACGAAGAAGGAAGGCTCTTTCTGTCTCTTCAGAGCAGCTCCAGTCTGCACCTTCACGTTGGCTGTCACCCCGGGCTTCCCTCACAGACACTCAGTCTCCTATATAGACTTGCAGGGGCTGCCACAGTGAGCTCCAGGCCTTCGGGCTGCATCCTTCCTGTCTCCAGGGCTCAGACAGCTTTTCCACACCGAACAGTGTGGGCAGCTAATTTAAGCCAATCTTTTTTTTTTTTTTGTACCAGGGATTGAAGTCGGGACCTTGCACTTGCAAGGCAGGTGGCAGAACCACTGAGCTAAATGCCCCGCCTTTTTTCGTTTTGTTTTGTTTTGAGGCAGGGTCTCACTAAGTAGCCCAGGCTGACCTCCAACTCATGGCGATCCTCCTCTCTGTTGTTGTTTTTTGAGATAGGGCCTTGCAACATAGTCCAGGCTGGCCTTGAATTTGTGGCAATCCTCCTGCCTCAGCCTTTCGACTGCTAGAATCATAGGCAGGCCTCACCACACTCCCTGCTGTGCTTTAGACACCTGGTGTACAAAACTGCAAAAGATGCCAGGCAAGGTGGTGCCTACCTGTACGTATTCCCAAACCTCAGGGAGGCTGAGACAGGAGGATGATAAGTTTAAACCCCATCTGAGCAAGTTAGGCAGACCCCATGTCTGTCTCAAAATTAAAGACAACAGCAACAAAAAAAGAAGTAAAGGGGGCCTGGGATTTAGCTCAGTGGTTTCCCCACCTGCCTTGAAAGCGCAAGGACCCGAGTTCAATCCCCAATACAAAATAAATAAAGGACTGAGGATATAGCTCAGTACAAAGGCCCTGGCTTCAATCCCTAAAACAAAATCAAACAAAACAAACCCCAATGCAAAAGACTTCTCCACCAAGAAGCTTTCGGTCCAGAGGGGGAAATAAATATGCAAATAAATAATTACAGTTCAGTGTGATAGGCAAGGGTCACAATGCCAAGGGAGCCCAGAGGAGATCTGGAAAATGTCCAGCAAGGTGATATTTGAGGGGCTGTGGGGTGGCCTGACGGACTCCAGGAGGATGATGCTCCAGGCAGAAGATGCCACAGGCTCAAGGCTCGGTGATACCACAGTGGGTGATTTTCCTGAAAAACATCAAGTGTGTCCTTTGGAGGAGGCTGAGGCAGGAGAATTTAGGGAGGGCTTCGGTGTTCAGAGCAAGAGGTCAGCTCTGGAGGGACAGGGAAGGGCTTTGAATCCTGCACCTAGAGCCCAGATGTGACCCTGAGGGCAGTGGAGAGGGTTATAGGCTGGGTCTCAGCCGGACGTCGTCCGTCCTTTACAGGACCAGGACCGGGGTGCAGCTGGGCCTCTGGAAGCCAGAGTTTCAGGAGGAGCTGCCGCGTGGAAGGGCCAGAGAGAGGGCGGAGCCAGGCCCCCACTGCACAGGATGGGTGAGGAGCCCCAGTGAGTGGGAAAGGCTTTGTGTGCAGCTCGGTGGGCAGGCAGAGAGGCCGGAAAGAAGCAGAGTCAGCTCAGGAGAAAGCCGGCAGCAGACAGGCAGGGCTTCAGCAGCCCAGGCTGCCAGGAGTATGGGGTGTGAGCCAGACTGGCAGGGAGGCAGAGGAGCGCCCACACGCCCAGAAACTCAGGAGGAAAAGGGGGTCAAAGGAGCCCAGGGCGGGTGGCCATACCCTTGTTCCTGGCCACCCAGGGACACCCAACCGTTTCACAGGGGCTGGGCGTCATTTACACAGGCAGCGTACATACCAAGGAAGCTGTCCTGGTGAGCAGGGTCCCAACTTGGGAGCAGCTCTCCTTCAAGAATTCCTGACCAGAAAGCTTGACATCCTACCCACAGGGGCCCTGGCCTGCTGTGTGTAAATAGCCACATGCTGGGTGTGACGGCACACACCTGTAATCCCAGCACTCTTGTAAGCTGGAGGGTCCCAAGTTCAAGCCCAGCCTGGGCAATTTAGTAACTTAGCAAGACCCTGTCTCAGAATAAAAATATATTTTTAAAGGGCTAGGGATGTTGGTCCATGTGAAGGCCCCGGGTTCAGCCCCCAGTACACCTGTAATTACTATTGCTTTGGAACCAGAGGCAGGAGGATCAACATTTAGAGCCCTGGCTGGGCAATTTATCAAGATCCTGTCTCAGAATACAATGAAATTTAAAATGGGCTGAACATGTACCTAGTACCCGCCAGGCTGAGGGTTCAATCCTCAGTGCTACAAATTAATAAACGAAAATAGGGGTCCCAGGGCAAAAGAGGTGGTGGGGTGCTGGACAGCTGTAACCTCAGCACTCAGGAGGCTGAGGCAGGAGGGTGGTGAGTGCAAGGCCAGTCTGGACTACCTAGTGAGACCCAGTCTAGCGAGGGCGGGGGTTGGACAAGCACAGCCACCCGGGTGTCACTCTGGCGTCAGCAGGTCAGGCAGGTTGCCCATCCCTCGTCACAGCTGTCCCCTTGGTTGTCGCCCCCACCAGGTGGCCACAGTGGAGAGAAGCGGTTTCTCCCTGCACACCCTCATCCTCAGACTTCTTCCTGAGGACCCCGTGTGTTCACAACTGTGGCCCCTGGCTCCCCTGAGAAGCAACCTTGGGACCTGCCCCGGCGAGACCTCAACTCTCCTCTCCTCCCCACCCCATGGCATTAGACCCCCACATGGTGTGGACATTCAGTGAGCAGATCATCTTTCTTTCCTTCTTTCCTTCCTTTTTTCTTTTCTTCTTCCTTCCTTCTTTTCCCATTTATTTGGGCAGTTCTGGAAGACTGAACTCAGGGCCTTCACACAGAGCTACATCCCCAGCCCACTTTTATTGTTGTGGGTTTTTTTGGGGGGGTTGTTTGTTTGTTTGTTTTTGTTTTTTTGAGACAGGGTCTCACTATGTGGTTGAGACTGACCTGGAACTCGCTATGGAGCCCAGGCTGGTCTCAGACTCACAGCAATCCTCCTGCCTCAGCCTCCCGAGTCCTGGGATCACAGGCGGTATGCGCCACCACGCCGGGCCAGCCCCCTTTTATTTTGAGAAAAATTCTCAGTAATTAGCTCAGTTAGCCAGGCTGGGCTCAAACCTCCAGCCCTCCTTCCTCAGCCCCTAGAATGCTGAGATTACAGACGTGCGCCACCACACCCGGCTCTGTGTGCAGAACACAGGCGTGGGAAGGGCTCCGATGTTTCAGAAGTGGACAGAAGACCGGAGAAGTCAACACTCGGCTTTCCGGCCCCTTCTCTGCTCCGGATGCTCAGGGACCCCAGGCAGGGGCCGACGCGGCACCCGGGAACCACGCAAATGTTAGCTCACTGCGTTTTCTTTAGGCTCACGGAGACTCCCCGTCCCACTTCCTAACGAACCTCACACCCAGTCGCGCCCAACCAGCGTACCCCGTCTGCGGGTCTCCGCCGGAACCGTCGGCCCCAGAAGCC